CCAAAGTAGCATAACCTTTTAAGTAAAACTGAACAACATATTAAACAACATATTTTAAATATCGCAGTGCTTAATAATAGTTGACAAACGTTTGTACATTGTAAATGTTAAAAATGTTTTTCAAAATATTGTACTTTTCCAAATATTAAAATTATAAATACATATATATTTAAATTATAACCATGTGTAGGCCTATTGCAATATAAAGTACATTAAAAACCCACTAAAAGTGTAATCATTTTGTTATGTTCTTACACAAAGTAGACATAAAATATACTTTAAGTCAGGGTAACATAAGTATGTTTTCTGTAAATACACTAAAAAGTCACTAAAAGTATGCTTGTGTTTAGCATATTCCTTAAAAGTGTAACTAAAAATATATTTATTAACATAGTATTTCTACTATACTTTTTAGAAATATACTAATAGTGTGCTTGTGTTTAGCATATTCCTTAAAAGTGTAACTAAAAATATATTTATTAACATAGTATTTCTACTATACTTTTTAGAAATATACTAATAGTGTGCTTGTGTTTAGCATATTCCTTAAAAGTGTAACTAAAAATATATTTATTAACATAGTATTTCTACTATACTTTTTAGAAATATACTAATAGTGTGCTTGTGTTTAGCATATTCCTTAAAAGTGTAACTGAGCATATATTTATTACCAAAGTATTTCTAGTATACTTTTTATAAATACATTAAAAGTATGCTTCTGTTTAGCATATTTCTTAGAAGTATAACTAAGCATATATTTAATACAAAAGTATTTCTAGTATACTTGTTAGAAATATATTAAAATGCAATTCAATATATTTTTATTGCACTTCAAATAAGCATGTTGGGAATACAAATGTATTATAAACATACTACTTGAATTTCAAGTATATGTTTAATACATTTAATACTACGTCTTTTTCACCTGGGTAGTAAGAGCTTGATTAGCTGGTTCAAGTGTGTTTAATCAGGGTTGGAGCTAAACTCTGCAGGACACTGGCCCTCCAGGACCGAGTTTGGACAGCCCTGGAGTATAGAACATTCCACAAGCTGTCATTTTGGTAGACTGCTTTCGATATAAGCTGTTTTTAGACCAGCTACAAAGTTTTGAGTTCTGAAACTTACAGGATGTTTTTAGAGCACAATGACGTCTTAATATTATGTCAAAAGATCAAGGGAATTTTGGTTTCTCAGTTTAACCCTTAATATTATTGTCCCCACATGGCACACAGAAATTGCAACAAGATTAACCTTAATGGTAGAAAGGGCTCAGCCTTTAGCTAAAAGTTTGTACAACAGAACAGAGTAAAGGAAGAATGTGTCTGTGCACCATCACTCAAACACATCGTATTTTCCATCATATGCAGAGAGTGTTGAAGTCACTCTTGCATTCTGAATTGTCTCAATCACACTTGGAGGCAAACCAGTAACACTTAAGTTTGTATTATTGGATGGTTGCATTATGAAATATCATACAAGAAAAACAAGTCTACTGACACACCTCTTTTGCACACGTCTCTTAAACACAGAACCAAGAATATATTCAAACACTCCAGTTCAGGAAAAGGAAAACATTACTGCTGTTCAGCTTTGTCTCTGTCTATCTGAAAGTGCATGCACTGAAATGGCTGAAGCCGGATTTTCTCAGGACCAGTTCAGCTGTCCATTGTGTCTGGATCTACTGAAAGATCTAGTGACCATTCCCTGTGGACACAGTTACTGTATGAGTTGCATTACAGACCACTGGAATCAAGAGGATCAGAAGAGAGTCTACAGCTGCCCTCAGTGCAGAAAGACCTTCAGACCAAGACCCGCTTTAAATAAAAGCACCATGCTGGCTGAAGTGCTGGAGAAACCAAAGATGACCATTCAAACTATTGCTCCTGCTGAACAACAGGAGAATCTCTTAAAAGGTAATAGACATAACTTGATGAACGCCACTGGACAACCTCAGAAGATGATGTGTCATCAACATGGTAAACCGCTAGAGATTTACTGCCGCACTGACCAGCAGTGTATTTGTGTGTTTTGTGTGGTGGAAAAACACATAAATCATGAGACTGTATCAACTGCAGCAGGGAGGACTGAGAAACAGGTACAGAATGAAAGACACTGACATGCTAAATAATAACTTGTTACTGACTACCTTAAAATGCATTTTAAACAGTTTGCAACTGTATGAGTTTTGCAAATGAAAATGACTTAGAAGTAAACTGGAGCAAACTAATATAAAAAGAAAAAAATCAGCTATATACAGTAATAATTAGAAACTGCCTTGAGTACTAGTGTTTATAGTTGGTTTTGGTGTGGTTCATCATAGTGTGGTTAAGAATGCAATCCATCCAGTTTCCTGACATGAAAACACAAAGGCTGAATTCACTCAAAAACCTTTTGTTACCTTTAGTTTCACTAATTATATATTTATGCGATTTACTTTGTTTTGCCCAACAGAAACAATTGGATGAGACACAGGGAAAATTGAAGCAGCAAATCCAGGAGAGGGAGATGAAGCTTTGGGAGCTGAAAGAGGCTGTGGGGTCTCAGAAGGTGAGTTTTGAAGAAGAAGCAGTAGTGCTGGTTTCAGACTCTTCTTCAGTTGGTTATTGAGGGTGATTTTCAGTCCCACAGCAGACTGTGTGAGCAGCAGTAAGAGCTGATTGTAATGTGTGTCCTACAGCGCTCTGCACAGACAGCAGTGGAGGACAGTGAGAGGACCTTTACTGAACTCATCCAGTGCATAGAGAAAAGACGCTCTGAGGTTACACGGATGATCAGAGACAGAGAAAAGGCTGTAGTGTGTCAAGCTGAAGGACTCATGGAGCGACTGGAGCAGGAGATTGATGAACTGAGGAAGAGAAACTCTGAGCTGGAGCAGCTTTCACACACAGACGATGACACCCAATTCCTCTGGGTACAGAGAGGGTTTACTGACTTTACTGAACAGTATTTATTTTCTGTGACATGGTTCTGTATCTTTCTAATTCTTTTACTGTTATTTGTCATTGTGTCTGTGTAGAGATTTCCGTTTCTGTATGATCCTCCTGACTCTCTAGACATTTTCAGCATCACTGTCAGTTCCTATGACGATGTAAGAGAATCTGTCTCTCAACTGAGACAGAAACTGGATCATTTCTGCAGAAAGGAGATTGAAAAGATGTCTGGAAGAGGTAACTGAGACTGGAGAAGTACTGGAAACATATTTGTTCTTATTTAAACAATGAAATACAGGATAATATGAAAATATATGCATTAAAATAAATATGGAACTGATATACAGTTGATTCAATTATTTTACACTTAAGAGATCTGTTGATTTCCACAGGGAGATGCATTCCGACTGTTGCCAACGCTGAATTTGAGAGCAGAAAAGAGCTCCTGAAGTGTAAGTTACTAGGAAAACATGAACACAGACAAACACACAGAGAAAACAAGAGATGACAATTTCAGCTCTTTTGCATGTAACCCATAGCCAAGTTGTATACCTTCATGTATAAAAATTTGTCATGGGACTTTATTTTACAGTCCTGCTCTGCATGTACATACTATGTACTTGATAGTACTTTTTAGTAATTACAATATCTGGTTAAGTACTAACCTTGAACCTACCCCTAAACCTAACCAACTCATGTTACCTTATATTATCAGTACTTTCTTAGGTAAATACACTGTAATTTCAGGTAAGTGCACATACTGTAAAATGTTAAAAAAAGTTCAACTTCTAATTACGCTTTTTCACATATCAATCTATTTTTAATTTTAGATGTGTTTCTAAACTGTACATGAAATGCTAACTTTCATATAATTTTCTGTTTGATCATGTTTTTTAGTTTACACAAACTTCTGAAGTTTAAAATTGGTTTATTAGCCTATAGAGGGCTAAATATTCATAGTTTTTTTTCTTTTCTTGTATTTGTTTAGTTTACAGGGACATTGTACATTAATAAAACATTTCTATAAATGTACCAGAATTAGCCAAAGGCTATTTTCAGGCTATTTTTGCAATATAGTCATTACATACTGTACACCTAATAGTAGATATTTAACTAATAACATTGGTTTCAGATAATTTGCATGAACTCTTTTAACTCTTATAATACACAACTAATAATCAAAATGTTCTAATACCCCAGAGGACACTCTCATGGCTGTTGAAAATAATGAATGTCCTCCATATATTGATCTGGCCCTTTTAATTTTGTTGTTGGCCCCCTTGGACCTAGAGCTCCCAGAATCATTCCTTTAACTAGTTACAGCTTTGATTCATTCTCTACTGTAATAAGGACTTAATTTATATTTGTTAAACTCAAACAGACTTTGTTTTTAGCAAATAACACAATGTTATGTATAGAATAGTTTAATTAGGTTTCAATAGCTGCAAAAAAAATTATTGTGACGCCTAAATTTAGCTGTATCATTTCAGTTTATACTGGGTTGTATTTACTTTTTACAAATTTGTATAAATACATCTCCCTGTGGAAATCAACAGTCGTCACACTAACAGTTAAAAGTAATATAATGTATTTTGTCTCCATCAGATTTCTGTCGTTTCAATGTGGATCTAAACACAGTGCATAAACACCTCCAGCTGTCTAAGAAGAACAGAGTGATTGCCAACACTAACGTAGATCAGCGCTATCCTGATCATCCAGGCAGATTTGATTATTGGTGGCAGGTGTTGTGTGCTGAGAGTATATGTGGACGCTGTTACTGGGAGGTGGAGTGGGATGGGACTCATGATGTGGGTGTATCAGTGTCATACGAGAGCATCAGAAGGAAGGGACGGGGTGATGAGTGTAAATTTGGATATAACACTGAATCCTGGAGCTTGGACCGCACTATCTCCGGTTACCTATTCTGTCACAATAACAAACAAACGAAACTCCTTACAGAGCCTGGTTGCTCTAGAATAGGAGTGTATGTGGATCAAAGCGCAGGAATTCTGTCCTTCTACAGCATCTCTGACACAATAACCCTCCTCCACAGAGTCCAGACCACATTCACTCAGCCTCTCTATCCGGGAATTAGAATTGGCTTTCCAATTATTTACATGGCCTACTTTTTATCATGTACATCAGTAAAACTACTAAATAAATGATCCAGACATTCTGCCGATATAGACATATTGCAAGTGCAAGCTCCATGATAAATTATGTTTTTCCGTTTTCCTCATTTTTAAATTCAATGTACTAAAGCTGAACATCTGTGGAGATTTAATTAGTTTTTTTTTTCATATACAGTGAGTTATATTATATATTCAAATAAATTGATGGAAGCTCCATGATACATTTTTCGTTTTTGAATTCAGTAAATACTATAGCTGAACATCTATGGAGATTTAATGATTTGTATTTATTTTTTATGTTTTTCATCTGTACAGTGAGTTATATGATATATTCAAATAAATGGATGGAAACTCCCTGATAAATTATGTTTTTCATTTTTGAATTCAGTATATATAGCTATAGCTGAACATTTGTGGAGATTTAATTCTTTGATTTTTTTTAAATTTCATTTATGCAGTTTATGCATTTATTCCAGATGTTTTGTTGAATTAAAACTGGACATGCAATAGAAATAAAATAAAAATACAACATTTTTAATTCATGATTGTTCATACAACTCTCTGCTTTACCTTTGTAGTTTATGACAAACTAGTGCTTTGTAATATTTACATTATTTTTAACATCCGCAGCTGATAAAAGGGACCAGATGAAACTCTGGATCATAGCACAGTGGGGCATGCAGCTTGTTATTACAGACCACTCAAAGTTAGTCAACAGATATTGCAATAAAGCACATTTCCGATATGAAGTTCTTGTTTTTTATTTTTTTTTTAATGCTGTTTTCCTGAATATCTGTTACGATCACCAGCTGGATTGCCTATGAACTCCATTAGAGGGCACTCCACTCCGGACTCTTGTCATTGTTTTCTGGACTCCATTTCCCATGTGTCCCTTGCCCCTCATGTGATCTTGTCACGTGCTACCCTTGTCTGTATGTTATGTTCTGATTGGTTGCTTGGTTGCATGTGTCTTGTTCTCATTGGTTGGTTTTGTCATGTGGTCTCCTGCTCTAGTATAAAAGATGCTCTCACTCACTCCAAGATTGCTGATTATTGTATAGCCATTTCCTTGTTCCTAGTTTCCGAGTTTTCCTTTCCGTGTTTCCTAGTTTACCTGTGTTTTGATCTTTGCACTGTTTCCTTGTTTTTTGATTGATTACTGCCTGCCCTGACCATCGCCTGTTTGTGGATTACTCTTTTGCCTCTGCCTTGGATTATACTGTTTGCTGGTGCTCGACCCTGCCTGTTTTGACCACTTCTGTTAATAAAGCCTTGCATTTGGATCCCCAACTCTGTTGTCATGCTCTCCACGTTACAGAATAATCAGCCATACCCGGATCCAGCGGCTTTATTCAACAACCCAGACCAACCATGGACCCAGTCGACCAGCTACTGCACCTTCGGCAAGGAGTCCTATCTATTGAGGAATATGTTAATCGATTCTGTTAGTTGTCATATCAAGTACCACTTTATGATGAAGTTTTGTTTGAGGACTTGTTCCATTTTGGCCTTAATGAGCCAACTAAATTGTGTCTACCTAGAGGGGAAGTTAAATGCTCTCTAAGAGACTTAATGGATGATGCTCTGTTATTATGTGCCTCTCCTTTCACTCTAGGTGAAGCAGAGGACTGTGTTAAAACCCCAAAG